TACTGTCGCTAATTGTCACTTGTCAGCGATTTGTAAGGTAGATCGATGATAACACAATCCCGTGCGTTCCGTCATATTGTCACATCTCGGAGAACTAAAGCAGAGCAACACTAGCTCATGACTGATGTGAATCTTAATCTGTATTCTGTCAGAATTACCTAGCCATTCAGTTTTGATAAATTTTCAGTACGATACTTGCTCGTCTCATAGCGATCGTGTCCAGGTATAAGATTTTTCGACCAATCAGGAAGCTAGGATTGGTAGTAACATCTTGTTTCAGAGGCTGAAACAATATGCTGAAATCGTAATTGCATTACATTTAGCCAAAATATACAAAGGTGTTAATTGTCAAACACCACAGAACAAACCCTTCCTAGATGAAACTGGTCATTCGAACAAATCTGGGGGATTCGGACAAGTTGAAACCTCTTTGAAACTTGTCTTGGCCTCCTCTCGTTGTGTTTAAAGCACTTTTAACAAATGACTTCATCGTTAAGTACTGATTGGTCTCTATCTTATACGGAAAAGCACACTCATGGTTAGCAACCTTTCAGAATATCTTGTTTGATATAGCAGTGTTCCCTAGGCTAAAGTTGCACACTGATCCAACACAAGCCGTGTTTATGTTACAAAACAATTGTTGTGTAAAATGTGTTATGTAAATTACATATTCATGAAAAGAATATGCAATCAGTTGTCAGCTATGCTAAATGTATATGGTATTTCAGTATCTAGGTTTTATTGTAAAAATAACATATAAAAAACTAACTATTGGCCAAGCTAACCTCTTGGCCTTTATTTATTTGAATAATACATGCACATGGACAATGAGGAATGGCGCCAGGTTTTACCCGTACTTATAATCCACCGATAGAGGTATTATTTTTGTCCCTATTAACAGCTATTGATATCACTTTGAGGATATTGGCTTGACTTATTAGGATTTAATACATTGTTATGTTGACCTTGTTGACGTGACGGCTTAATTTTCCTGATGCTCTATGAGAACAATCTTTGCAATCAAATATTATTTATCGACAAGTATTAATCAAATGTTACACGAACACAACAAATATTAAGATTTGATGGAACAAGAGAAAAATATTCTGTCCAGTCTACTTTTACATTATAGAATTGTAAGTTTTGCAAGATTAACAACAAACTATAAATCTCAGTAATTATCATATAATTAAATCAAGTAATTTTGCACCATAAGAGTTACAATAGATTGAAAACTATTTTTACAGGTTTCCATGCTTCAAAATTTACCTGGTGATACATTTGAGTACATCAAAATGGCGGACGAAGCTTGCATCACATCCAGATTTGTTTTTGTTTTGCTAATCAATAAATAATACCAATTTGATGAACAAATTGATAATGAATAATGTTTCAGGATGGGAACAAAATGAGAATTTATGTGATACAAATACATGGCTTTGACGTAGATTTTGACACAGGGTCAGTTTACTGAACTTGTGGGCCCTTTAGGCTTTTTAATCAAAACATGAACATTCAAAAATATATTTTGCATTGCCATTTAATGTGCTACAAACATGCGAAGTATGTAAAAACCAGGTGTGGATAGTTTCTATGAGAAATTTAACATTAGATAAAACCCCACCTTTCAGTATTTTTTTCTTCATATTTCCAGTGTATTCATATATTTGAAATCTACCACAGGACTTTATTTAGTGTTAATGTTACCATGTATGCGAGATGTGTACATGTGTTGAGTGCGTGTGTTTGTGGAACGCTGCAATAGATCTTGTAAAAACCGACTCTAAATAGTGTTAACCACACCAAGTTTTACTACCTAAGCTGCGACGTTACTGTTAGGCAAATTATAACTAATATATCAAAATTATAGTTTAAGAACGTCTGTTAGTATAGCCAGCCACATCTACCTCATCTCTGTATCTATTCCCATTCTATTCATTTTCCTGTCTCTTCTCGTCCGCTGAAAGGCCGTGGTGGTGGGGACGTAAAATTTGTTAAATAAATAAATGATAAATACTACCGAATGTCCAGTAGGACACAAAATCCGTTCATTTCATACTGGGAACGGCCAAACCACTCAATTCACTTCGAGAAAGCTGAGCGATGTGCAAGGAGAGGTAGCTACTATTTTAAAGACTCCAAAGAATCCAAAACCTTGTTTTCAGATAGATCTGGTATGTCTCGGCCAGGGAACAGAACCCGAAGCCTTGTTTTCAGATAGATCTGGTATGTCTCGGCCAGGGAACAGAGCCCAAAGCCTTTTTTACATTTAGATCTAGTATGTCTCGGCCAGGGAACAGAGCCCAAAGCCTTGTTTACATTTAGATCTAGTATGTCTCGGCCAGGTAACAGAGCCCAAAGCCTTTTTTACATTTAGATCTAGTATGTCTCGGCCAGGGAACAGAACCCAAAGCCTTTTTTACATTTAGATCTAGTATGTCTCGGCCAGGGAACAGAGCCCAAAGCCTTGTTTACATTTAGATCTAGTATGTCTCGGCCAGGGAACAGAGCCCAAAGCCTTGTTTAAATTTAGATCTAGTATGTCTCGGCCAGGGAACAGAGCCCAAAGCCTTTTTTACATTTAGATCTAGTATGTCTCGGCCAGGGAACAGAGCCCAAAGCCTTGTTTACATTTAGATCTGGTATGTCTCGGCCAGGGAACAGAGCCCAAAGCCTTTTTTACATTTAGATCTAGTATGTCTCGGCCAGGGAACAGAACCCAAAGCCTTTTTTACATTTAGATCTAGTATGTCTCGGCCACGGAACAGAGCCCAAAGCCTTGTTTACATTTAGATCTGGTATGTCTCGGCCAGGGAACAGAGCCCAAAGCCTTGTTTACATTTAGATCTGGTATGTCTCGGCCAGGGAACAGAACCCAAAGCCTTGTTTACATTTAGATCTGGTATGTCTCGGCCAGGGAACAGAACCCAAAGCCTTGTTTACATTTAGATCTGGTATGTCTCGGCCAGAGAACAGAACCCAAAGCCTTGTTTACATTTAGATCTGGTATGTCTCGGCCAGAGAACAGAGCCCTAAGCCTGGTTTACATTTAGATCTAGTATGTCTCGGCCAGGGAACAGAACCCAAAGCCTTGTTTACAGTTAAATCTGGTATGTCTCGGCCAGGGAACAGAACCCTAAGCCTTGTTTACAGTTAAATCTGGTATGTCTCGGCCAGGGAACAGAACCCAAAGTCTTCTGAAGAGCTAAGATATGCAACAATCTCTTTTTATTTAAAAAAAATCCAGTCCAAATAAGTATAACAAGATGTACATATTTACCTCATTTAACTCAGACATGGTGTATATGATATCACAATTAATCTTGTTGGATGGAATTTAGTAATTTGATATACAGACTCATTAATGTTATACTTGTATTGGTAATATACTGAGTCTATTTAGAGAGTGGAGCTGGTAATGTGCTTAATGACACACTGACAGATTCACTCTTTAATATCATCCATAAATTAAAAGAATATCAATATAATCGGCAATTACACTGAGTAATGATAAAAAAGTTTGAAATCCCTGGCGGTTTGATGAAAGCCGTGGAATTATTAGCGAGGCCGACAATTGCGCGTGCGCAGCCAATTCTTGCTGTTACGGTGCGTTGTTGCATCGTGTTCAGTACGTTTATATCGAAATATGCAAGGTTATCAATTTATGATAAACAACATACTGAAGCACGAAAAAGCTGAAATCATAATTCTGGTAAAATTACTGTATATGGTCGATCTATTATTCGGAGAGATGAGATTTTTTTCAGCTAATGCCGGTAAATAAGTTAGGTATAAAAAGGCTTAAACCGATATTTATCGGTTATAAATCAATGAATAATTTGTGAATATTAATCGAAATAGTGTCTCGTTTATTAGTTGTGTAAGCACGATCAGGGAAGTCCGTGAGCGTCAATCAATAAAAGTAATATCAGGTACTGACTGCAACAGCGAAGCATGTCACGCGCGGTCCAAGAGTGGCCAGTGGCTGTATATATATACAACAACGGGCTTAAATAAACTTCAGGTTGGGTTGTAAGTACGTCCGCGCTAAACTGGAAATGATAGTGAAGTGACCACTTGTGTTGGTCGGACAAACAAGTGATGCTTAATATTATGTACATGGATGATGTACTGTGATTGATAGTGCTGAGATGTATACACGAAATGTTGATTTTGTATATATATCTAACTCTGTACATCGTTTATAACTGTTTTTTATCGTCCAAATCTATCTATAGTTTTAATACAAAAAATACTGAACAAATGGAATTATAGTGCACACCAATTACACGTACTTAATGGTATTGTTTTTATTCAGGTACAAGATATATACAAATGTGACATTATTAATATTTTTATAATTTTGGATTAAACACGTGCAGGAAAGGCTGACACGTGACATTATGTCTGGTGACCTACACGTGCTAACAATAATGATATTACGTACAAGTTCAGGACACGGTCCTTCATCCTTGTAGTACACACCTCTTTATAGCGTACACGAGCTGTAGAAATTACGTGTGTGTGTACATCGCACGTATATCTGTAAAATGGCGACTAGTGTGTATTGATAATAAACTCCGAGGAGTTGTCTCGTTCGGATGTTGTCCTAAATGGCACCGTGCACTCATAATTGGCATTGTGGGAATTAGACCTCCACTGAATCGTTTCTAACGAGGTCTTTGTTGCAATGGACATGCGCATCCACGTTATTGGCAACACCGGGTTGCTCAGTCTACTGTGATGACGGATATCTGAACAAGCTATACTTTGTTACAGAGAGCTGTGTGTAAACTGTGGACGATCTTCTTAAAGCGGAAATTTGCTTAAGTATCTGCAGCACGCCGAAATAATGGTTAAACTACCTGTGTCTGGGACTTTTAAAAGAAATCACGGAACTTAATATTTTCTAGGAATACTTGTAAATTCCGGTAGAGAAAAAATACACATGACGCCTTCAATGTCATGAATAGAAAGTGTTTCGGTTTACATACATGATAATGTCGAAAAGGACTAGTAAGGGTAGTAGGAAACAGCAATTCAATTCACTAGCTGATTTATTGTGTCGTTATAAATCTGTTCAAAAACGACAGTTGGTAGACCTGGAAGATGAATTCCTGCACGCGGCGGAGTTTGGTGATGTGCCGACTGTCAAACAGCTTGTGGACCGAAACGCCGACCTGAACGTCGACTGCATCGACGCGCTCGGAAGGACAGCTTTACGACTTGCCGTGAAAAATGAACACTTAGAGGTAAGTTATCAAGTTTTTGTCGTTTTCTTAGTATTTATTATTAAAATTGTTGCATTTCCCCACTCCACAATTTTAACGTTTTCCCGTGAATTATTCAGTAGAAGTTTTGAGTGAGTCAGAGGAGTACCGTACAAATATATCAGATAGTACGATAATTTGTAGATGACCTTTATGAAGGATGTTTAGTTCACGTTAGCAAATTAACACATTCTTTTAAACAATTTATCATAAATAACACAAAGGATAATTCATCGTTACATACGTATCTACACGACTAGCACACGTATCTACACGACTAGCACACGTATTTACACGACTAGCACACGTATCTACACGACTAGCACACGTATTTACACGACTAGCACACGTATTTACACGACTAGCACACGTATTTTACACGACTAGCACACGTATCTACACAACTAGCACACGTATTTACACGACTAGCACACGTATCTAAACGACTAGCTTACGTATTTACACGACTAGAACACGTATCTACACGACTAGCACACGTATCTAAACGACTAGCACACGTATCTACACGACTAGCACACGTATTTACACGACTAGCACACGTATCTACACGACTAGCACACGTATCTACACAACTAGCACACGTATCTACACGACTGGCTCACGTATCTACACGACTAGCACACGTATCTACACGACTAGCACACGTATCTGAACGACTAGCACACGTATCTACACGACTAGCACACGTATTTACACGTATCTACACGACTAACACACGTATCTACATGACAATTCAATGTTACACGTATTTCTGTATGACCAGTCAGTATTACACGTGCATCTCTAAGAATAGTCAGTATTACACGTGTATCTATAAGACAAGACAGTATTACACGTGTATATCGTATGACTAGTCAGTATTACACGTGCATCTCTAAGAATAGTCAGTATTACACGTGCATCTCTAAGAATAGTCAGTATAACACGTGTATCTCTAAGAATAGTCGGTATTACACGTGTATCTCTAAGACAAGACAGTATTACACGTGTATCTCTAAGAATAGTCAGTATTACACGTGTATCTATAAGACAAGACAGTATTACACGTGTATATCGTATGACTAGTCAGTATTTCAGTGTCCATATGACTAGACAGTATATTACGTGTATCTTTATTACAAGTCGGCATTACACGTCCATCTTTTTGACATGTCAGTATTACACGGACGTGTATCTGTGTGACTTCTCTCCAGTGACTTCCTGTGCTAACCTAAGTCTGTGTTATATCTGTACTGATGGTCCCCAGTGACTTCCTGTACTAACCTAAGTCTGTGTTATATCTGTAGTGATGGTGTCCAGTGACTTCCTGTACTAACCTAAGTCTGTGTTATATCTGTGGTGATGGTCTCCAGTGACTTCCTGTACTAACCAAAGTCTGTGTTATATCTGTGGTGATGGTCTCAAGTGACTTCCTGTACTAACCCAAATCTGCGTTATATCTGTAGTGATGGTCTCCAGTGACGTCCTGTACTAACCTAAGTATGTGTTATATCTGTAGTGATGGTGTCTAGTGACTTCCTTTACTAACCTCAGTCTGTGTTATATCTGTAGTGATGGTCCCCAGTGACTTCCTGTACTAAACTAAGTCTGTGTTATATCTGTAGTGATGGTCTCCAGTGACTTCCTGTACTAACCTAAGTCTGTGTTATATCTGTAGTGATGGTCTCCAGTGACTTCCTGTACTAACCTTAGTCTGTGTTATATCTGTAGTGATGGTGTCCAGTGACTTCCTGTACAAACTAAATCTGTGTTATATCTGTAGTGATGGTTTCCAGTGACTTCCTGTACTAACCTAAGTCTGTGTTATATCTGTAGTGATGGTCTCCAGTGACTTCCTGTACTAACCCAAGTCTGCGTTATATCTGTAGTGATGGTCTCCAGTGACTTCATGTACTTACCTAAGTCTGTGTTATATCTGTAGTGATGGTCCCCAGTGACTTCCTGTACTAACCTAGGTCTGTGTTATATCTGTACTGATGGTTTCCAGTGACTTCCTGTACTTACCTAAGTCTGTGTTATACATGTAGTGATGGTCCCCAGTGACGTCCTGTACTAACCTAAGTCTGTGTTATATCTGAAGTGATGGTCTCCAGTGACTTCCTGTACTAACCTAAGTCTGTGTTATATCTGTAGTGATGGTCTCCAGTGATTTCCTGTACTAACCTAAGTCTGTGTTATATCTGTAGTGATGGTCTCCAGTGACTTCCTGTACTAACCTAAGTCTGTGTTATATCTAGTGCTGGTCTCCAGTGATTCCCTGTGCTAACCTAGATCTGTGTTATATCTGTAGTGATGGTATCCAGTGACTTCCTGTACTAACCTAAGTCTGTGTTATATCTGTAGTGCTGGTCCCCAGTTACTTCCCGTTCTAACCTTAGTCTGTGTTATATCCGTAGTGATGGTCCCCAATGACTTCCTGTACTAACCAGTGACTTTCTGTACTAACTTTAGTCTGTGTTATATCCATAGTGATGGTCGCCAGTGTGACTTCCTGTACTAACCAGTGACATCTTGTACTAACCTGTGCCTGTGTTATATCTGTAGTGATGGTCTCCAGTGACTTCCTGTACTAACCAAAGTCTGTGTTATATCTGTACTGATGGTCCCCAGTGACTTCCTGTACTAACCTAAGTCTGTGTTATATCTGTAGTGATGGTCCCCAGTGACTTTCTGTACTAACCTAAGTCTGTGTTATATCTGTAGTGATGGTGTCCAGTGACTTCCTGTACTAACCTAAGTCTGTGTTATATCTGTAGAGATGGTCTCAAGTGACTTCCTGTACTAACCTAAGTCTGTGTTATATCTGTAGAGATGGTGTCCAGTGACTTCCTGTGCTGATATATTATCTGGAGTTGAGGACTAGTGACCGTAGATTGCTTTTATTTCAGATAACCATACGTTATGTTAGTAGGTACTGATACATAGACTCGGAACTCCTATTTTACCTCTTCTTTGTGATAAGGCTCAGTAAATGAACAGACAAGAATTATTCCAAATGTTAAAACGTAGTCACATGGACATGAAAATCAGTAACCGTTTAAAGAAGTATAAATCTTCGCGGCCTGTTCAGAAGGGTATACTTTTGAGGGTTATATTAACATTTTTACCATAGATGGGTGTAATGTTTTCGAACATGAGAACATGTAGTAGTCTTCTTGACCGACCTGAAAATTGTATACTGCTCCTGTGTACGTAGGAGGATCACAACAAGATCCTGTTAATTTTAACAGCATTCGCTCCCACCATTTTGCCTATTATTTCCCTCCGCTGGTCAGACATATTGTGAAATATTGTCATAAAACTCAAGTTGTCGTGTAATTTTAGTATTATGTTCTCGTGGCCTTGTAGTATAAGGCTCTCGTGTCCTTGTAGTATAAGGCTCTCGTGTCCTTGTAGTATAAGGTTCTCGTGTCCTCGTAGTATAAGACTCTCGTGGCCTTGTAGTATAAGGCTCTCGTGTCCTTGTAGTATGAGATTCTCGTGTCCTTGTAGTATAAGGTTCTTGTGTCCATGCAGTGTAAGATTCTCGTGTCCTCGTAGTATAAGGCTCTCGTGGCCTTGTAGTATCAGGTTCTCGTGTCCTTGTAGTATAAGGTTCTCGTGTCCTTGTAGTATAAGGTTCTTGTGTCCATGCAGTGTAAGATTCTCGTGTCCTCGTAGTATAAGGCTCTCGTGGCCTTGCAGTATAAGGTTCTCTTGTCTTTGTAGTATAAGGTTCTCGTGGCCTTGTAGTATAAAGTTCTCGTGCCTTGTAGTATAAGGTTCTCGTGGCCTTGTAGTATAAGGTTCTCGTGTCCTTGTAGTAGAAGATTCTCCTGTCCTTGTACTATAAGGTTCTCGTGTCCTTGTAGTATAAGATTCTCGTGTCCTTGTACTATAAGGTTCTCGTGTCCTTGTAGTATAAGATTCTCTCGTCCTTGTAGTATAAGGCTCTCGTGGCCTTGTAGTATCAGGTTCTCGTGTCCTTGTAGTATAAGGTTCTCGTGTCCTTGTAGTATAAGGTTCTTGTGTCCATGCAGTGTAAGATTCTCGTGTCCTCGTAGTATAAGGCTCTCGTGGCCTTGCAGTATAAGGTTCTCTTGTCTTTGTAGTATAAGGTTCTCGTGGCCTTGTAGTATAAAGTTCTCGTGCCTTGTAGTATAAGGTTCTCGTGGCCTTGTAGTATAAGGTTCTCGTGTCCTTGTAGTATGATTCTCGTGTCCTTGTACTATAAGGTTCTCGTGTCCTTGTAGTATAAGATTCTCTCGTCCTTGTAGTATAAGGTTCTCGTGGCCTTGTAGTATAATGTTCTAGTGTCCTTGTAGTATAAGGTTCTCGTGGCCTTGTAGTATAAGGCTCTCGTGTCCTTGTAGTATAAGGTTCTCGTGGCCTTGTAGTATAAGACTCTCGTGTCCTTGTAGTATAAGGTTCTCGTGCCTTGTAGTATAAGGTTCTCTTGTCCTTGTAGTATAAGGCTCTCGTGAACTCGTAGTATAAGGTTCTCGTGTCCTTGTAGTATAAAATTATCGTGTACTCGTAGTATAAGGTTCTCGTGTCCTTGTAGTATAAGGCTCTTGTGAACTCGTAGTATAAGGTTCTCGTGTCCTTGTAGTATAAAATTATCGTGTACTCGTAGTATAAGGTTCTCGTGTCCTTGTAGTATAAGGCTCTCGTGTCCTTGTAGTATAAGATTCTCTTGTCCTTGTAGTATAAGGTTCTTGTGTCCTTGTAGTATAAGGCTCTCGTGGCCTTGTAGTATAAGGCTCTCGTGGCCTTGTAGTATAAGGTTCTTGTGTCCTTGTAGTATAAGGCTCTCGTGTCCTTGTAGTATAAGGTTCTCGTGTCCATGCAGTATAAGGCTCTCGTGTCCTTGTAGTATAAGGTTCTCGTGTCCTTGTAGTATAAGGCTCTCGTGGCCTTGTAGTATAAGGTTCTCGTGTCCTTGTAGTATAAGGCTCTGTCCTTGTAGTATAAGGCTCTCG